AGGAGCCCGTGGAGGCCTCGGGCTTCGCCTCCGGGGAGGTCTTTGACTCCAGCCTCCCCCCCACGGACGACGAGGACTTTTACACCACCTTCCCCTTGGTCACGGACCGCACCACTCTCCTGTCGCCCCGCAAGCCCGCACCCCGACCCAACCTCAGGACAGATGGGGCCACGGGCGCCCCCGGGGTGCTCCTCGCGCCTTCAGCCCCAGCCCCCAACCTGCCCGCGGGCAAAATGAACCACCGAGACCCGCTGCAGCCGCTGCTGGAGAACCCGCCCCTGGGGCCCGGGGTCCCCACGGCCTTCGAGCCGCGGCGGCCGCCTCCCCTGCGCCCCGGCGTGACCTCAGCCCCCGGTTTCCCCCGTCTGCCCACAGCCAACCCCACGGGGCCCGGGGAGCGCGGCCCGCCGGGCGCGGTGGAGGTGATCCGCGAGTCCAGCAGCACCACGGGCATGGTGGTGGGCATCGTGGCGGCGGCGGCGCTCTGCATCCTCATCCTCCTCTACGCCATGTACAAATACCGCAACCGCGACGAGGGCTCCTACCAGGTGGACCAGAGCCGGAATTACATCAGTAACTCGGCCCAGAGCAACGGGGCGGTGGTGAAGGAGAAGGCCCCCGCTGCCCCCAAGACGCCCAGCAAAGCCAAGAAGAACAAAGACAAGGAGTATTACGTCTGAGAGCGCCCAGTCCAGGCACCGCGCCCCACTGCCAGCTCCTCTTGGGAGGGCCCGGGAGGAGGGTGCGGCCCTCTCCCTGCAGGGGAACCTGGGGACCCTCCCCCCGGCTGCCTCAGGCTTCTCCCACGAAGAGGAAACGCAAAAAAAGAAAAAAAGAAAAAAAAAAGAGAAAAAAAGAAAAGGAATCTAACTACGTGCTCATCCCCCTCCCTCCCGCTGCCCTCGGCGCCGCACTGTCAGCTCTGGGCTGGCTGTCCTCCGCCCTGCGCCTGTCAGGCAGGGCACGTGCTCACAGCCCTGGGTTGACTTATTTTTTTAAGGGGGGTAGTTTGATTTTGGTGGGGCTGGGCGGGAAGGAAGGCTGGGGTTTTGTAAAGTGTCCACTGCGCCGTTCGTTTATTGGCCCCGATTTTCTTCTTCCTCCCGGTTCCTCCCGCCTTCCTTCTCTTTCGAAGCCCTCCTGTCCCGGTCCAGGCTTGCTCTGTCTCTTGTCCCTACCCTCCTACACTGCCCCCTTCTTTTTTTCCTTTTCTTTTTCTTTTTCTTTTTTTTTTTTTTAATTCTGTTTTTCTCTGCTTCCCTCCCTTTTGGGTTTCCAGAGTTGTTGGAAGAAGGGTGGGAGGGTGGGCCCACAGCGGCCCAGCTTGGGCGGCTTGGGCCGGGCAGTGGGCTTCATCCCCCTAGTGCCCCAAGTCCCCTCCTGAGAGGAGAAACTCCCGCCTGGGGGCTGCCCAGGGATTGGGCTTGGACCTGGCCAAGGCCTGTTGTGTGTGTCGCTGCCGGGGCAATGTGCATTGCTGGGAAGCCGCTGGAGGAGCTGGGTGGGGGGTGGGGGGAGGGGAAAGGCAAATGCAGATATATATTAAAAACAAATAATCGAGGCGTCAGAGCTGCGGTCGGTGGCACCAGCTAGCTGCAGGTGCAGGGGATGGAGGGGCTGAGGCTGTGTCTGCGGATGGCTGGGGCTTCTTCTTCCGCCCATGGGCTCCCCCGCTCCCCCAGTTTCGTTTCATTTTTTTTTTTTTCTCTTTGTTAACAAATGTGTCTGAGTCTTGGAAAAACACCCCGAACCCGGAAATGTGTGGGAAAAAGAAAACAAAAACTTTCCAAATTCCAACAGTCCTGTGTAGTTTGTTCCAGGTGGGTGCTGTTAGGTCCTGGGTCCCTGCCCTGGGCCGAGGCCAGGGTCTGGGTGGGTTTACCTCATCCTTGTATTCAGCGTATGAAGCTGTGTGTGCCGTTAGATGACAGTTTATAGGTGTTAGTTCTCTGTGCCTACTACGTGGGCCCTGAGGATGGAATTCAAGCGTCAGGCTTGATGACAAGGGGCTGTGCCCACTGCAGCGTCACTGAGCCATTTTGCTGGCCCGGCCTCCAGACCTTTGAGTTGAATATAGCGTTGGTCTCTTGGACAACTGTTGACAAATATGGACAACTGGTAGGAGAGCTGTTCAAGTGTCTGCTGGGTGGGGCTGAAGGTGGCAGACATCCATGGCTTGTGCTTCTATGACCTTAACTTCTCAGACGCCATCATGTGGCCCTTTCAAGAAGGCTGCCATCTTGTCCAGTGTTTGGAGGGAGGTAGTCCCTCCTGCTGGCCAGCGTGGCAGTTCAGGGCCTCGAGGGTAGCAGTGGCTGATCCCCTCCAGGGTCTTGGTTCTCTGTCCTCTGCCTGTGCCTCTCCCTCCTAGCTCTGCTTCTCAGCTCTTTAGCGGGCTGCCACCCTTCAGTGCCTGACTCCAGGGCTGGCCTCTCCTTGGCCTCCTGAACCCACCAGCTTCTTGCCCTGCTTGCCCTCCCTGCAGCTTTTGGTCTGGGAGCCTGGGGTGATCACAGCGACTGTGGGAGTCTCTGACATGGGGCAATGCTATCAGGGTGTCCTGTCCCTAGCCTGTCATGGCGTCACCCCTGGGGCCTTGTGTTACTGTTCTCAGCTCAGAGCCCAGGCTAGGCTCCCTGTCCCCCACCTGCGTCCTTAGTCACAGAAAACAGACAGCAGGAGAATGGAAGGAACGCCTTTACTCTCACTTCAACAATTGCCCTGTTGGCCCTGATCGAGGCAGGGTGTACTTTAGGGGTTGAAAGGGTGGCTTCATGGCTTTGGTTGCCATGTAACTGGAACTCCGTCTCCCTCTCTGCATCAGAAGGCCAAGACCTGCCACTCAAGGGCTTTATTTTCTAAAGAGGGAGTACTGGAGGTGGCTGTTGACTCAGTTTACCTTTCCAAGTGGCTCCTCCACTGGAGGATATCTCAGCAGCTTTGAGGTTAGAAAACCCCATAGGAGGCATTTAAAAAAAAAAAAAAATCACATCCCAAACGGGTCCAGGCAGCAGTCTCGAGTTTATGCCTCTAGCTTTGTGAGGTAACTCTTTAGACGTGGTGATGGTGTCACTCGCCAGAGTGACAGAACCCTTTGTCCTGAAAATTCTCGGCCACCAGCATAGAGCCCATTCTGAATCTAGATAAGGGAGCAACTCTGACCTGCTTGGGAAGCTAGACTTCGGAGGGAGAGAGGGGGCTCTGCCTCTGCCCTGAGCTCTGCCTTCCGGAAGCGTCTAGCCACTCTGGAGCCCAAAGCAATGCAGCTGGGCTCCTGGCAACAGAGCATGATTGTCCTGAGGCATCAGGCAGTATATAATCTTAGTTCTACCCTTTTGTCTGGGGCAGATCACTAGGAAGTGTGTGTGTGTGTGTGTGTGTGTGTGTGTGTGTGTGTCTGTCTGTCTGTCTGTGTCTGTTGTGCAGCCTTGTGTTGAAGTGCCTGGGGGTAGCCACACACATGGATGCAGAGACCCAGTGTGGCTCGGTGCAGCTGGCGGGGGGGGGGGGCATCTGCTGACCCACTGGACAGCACCCTGTCTGTGGGGTACTGTGGGTCTTTTCTGTGAGCATTCCCAAAGGAGCCCAGAGAGTCTTGGCTGATTCTGAGTGGGACAGTGGGCCTGCTACGTGCATTCCTCTCTGCCTAGATGGCACTGTGGCTCAGCAGGGCTCAGGAGAGCCGCAGACAGGCCCTTGCCTTCTGATTCTGCCTCCTCCTCGATGTGTGTTGTGGGCAGTCTGTTTCGCAAAGCCTCTGTTGTCCCATGTGTGAGAAAGGACAGTGCCTCACAAGATGCAGAGAGGCATGGCAAGAGAAGGCCCATGAGAAGATCTGGCAGTAGCAGCCCCCAAGCCTGGCCCAGAACACAGGAAAACCAGAAAACCAGCCTTGGGAAAGTCTGTCTGGTGAGGGGCCCCAGTCTTTTCTCCTGCCCTGCAGACTCTTGGAGAGCCTCGTGAGCTCTTGAGGAGCTGCTGTCCGGCCTCAATCTGAGCCCTCCAACAGGCTCTGTGTGTGAGTGAGGATGTGGGGCCGGGACCAGTAACCCTCAGGGAATGTATGTGCTGGAGGGTGAGAATTGGCAGAGGTGTGGCCCTAACCACAGGTCACATGAGTACCAAAGTCCTGGCTTGTTCCAGAACCCTGGAAGGAGTTGGCCCTTGGGGTAGGTCTAGAGGCCTAGGAGAGTGTCAGGTGGGAAGGTAGGAAGGGGACCCAGGCAGAGGTTGTGGGGGGGCAGTGGGGTGTGCGTGGAGTGCAGAGAGGTTGGAGAGGGGCCGGGCCAGTTGACCGAGGACCTCAGTGACACGGAGAAACTGAGACTCCTTCATGCTGAGCTAAAGAAGAGGATGGCCAGTTCTGAGTCGTGCGGCAGGTGGGGTGGTGAGCAGCAAGGGGTCCCTTAGTCTTGGCTTCTTTCTGGCAGACAGCTGCGTAGGAGAGTCCGGATAATGGCAGCGTTTGTGGTAGCCTTCTATCATTCAAACTGTCCTCTGCCCCATGTGTTAGAGGGAGGGGGAGGCAGCCCTCTAAAGGGGTCCCTGAAAATGGAGCTCTTTGCTTCCCGTGGCTGTCTTCAGGGGACAGAAGAAGCCATTTCCTTTGCCTCCCTCATCCCTTCATCTTCCTCCTGGTCCCTCTCTTCCTCCTTTCTTCTTTCTCTTCATTTTCCTTCTCCCTTTCTTCTTCCTCTTCCTTTTCATTCCCCCTTTCTTTTCTTTTCTTTTTTTTTTTTATAAATTATTTATTTGTGTGTGTCATTGGGGGAAGGGGCATGTGTTCATGTGGAAGCCAGAGGACGGCTTTGTGGAGTCATTTCTCTCCTGCCCACCATGTGGGTTCCAGGAATGGAATTCAGAAGGTCAGCCTTGGAGGCAGGTGCCTTTACCTGCCATCGCCAGCCCTGCCCTTTCCCTCTCTCTCCCTCTTTTCTTCTTTTCTCATTGTTGTAGTCGTGGTCCTCCTTCTCTGGTCCTATCTTGGGTTCTCCCGGAGGCTACAGCTGTGTAGACACCAGGATGGTGCTGACTGCTGTGTCGTGTGTCGCCTTCTTCCCTGACCTGTTCATGAAAGACAGGGTAGTGTGACTGTAAGGAGCAGACGGACCCCTGTCTCTTGACCCACGTCCATGCTCAGGGCTGAACCTCCTGCCTGGGGCTCAGGTCTGAGCTTGCTGAGTACATCGAGGTGGGGTGGGCGGTGACAACTTTGCCAACCACCCAATAGCTTTAGTGGCCAAGTCTGCCACCTGTGAAGACCAGAAACCCCTGTCCCACCCCAGGACCTACCCCTGACGAAGGCCAGCTTCCTAACCTGCACTCTCTCTTTCTCCACCTCCTTCTCTCCCTGCCTTTTCCAAGGTGGACCTGAGGGCGGCTGGGCCATTTGTTCCTCCACGTGGTAGGATGAAGGGGAGAGGGTTAAGGTCCACCTGCTAGCCTGAGTCTCCACTCTCCCAACGTGCTGTAGTAACTGGGCCATCCTAACCCTCCCTTAGCCTTTGCTTTCCCCCGTTGAGTGAGAGGGATGAGCCCCCCTACACACACCATTTTGGGCTTCTGTGGAGGGACGGGGGGGGAGGGGCTGCGAGAAGGGCATGAAGAGGTGGTGCCCGGGCTGGTCTACTCACTGCTTTTGGATGTCTTGGATGGTGTCAGGCAGTGGCAAGTTCTTGGTCTCAGGCAGCAGCAGCGCGGCCAGGCCGCTTATCACCGGCACCGTTCCATACACCAGCAGGGGCAGCCAGGAGACATAGAGGCTCAGCAGCCTCACCAGAGGCCCTAGGATGGCGCCCCCTCGGGCTGCTACCTGGCCCAGGCCCACTGCTGTCATCCTGTGGAGGCACGTTTGCCTGTGCGTCACGCTCTGCCTACCTGGAGCCTTGACCTTTTGGCTTGGCCTGACTTCACTAGGTTCGAGGGGGGCCCACTGAATCAGCCAGGGTGAATGGAGACTGGGGTCCCTGAGACTGCACAGAAGGGAAACCCACGGGGGTCTGCAGGTAGCCCTTCCCTCTGGGCTATGCGCTCTCTCCTTGAGCCCCTGACAGCCTCACCTGAGCACAGTGGGGAAGAGTTCGCTGCTGAAGATGGTGACACAGGTGAAGGCAGCCCCAAGTGACCCCAGCCCCAGCACAGCCAGAGACGAGCGAAGGACCCCCATCTCTGTGAACAGTGATACCGTCAGCAGAGCACTGTCCTGTATTCCCTGGGCCGCCCCCCTGTCCTATCGGCTGCTCTCTTAAATGCTTCTCGGTCATCCCTCAGTAACTCATGGCCTCAGCGTACCATCCTCCAAGCCCCTCAGAGCCAGACCCCAGGCGTCCCCCTGCCTCCTTTCATCTATTAGTAAGTTCTGTGTTAATAGCTCAGCCTTCCTCATCTCCCCTAAAAATCTACAATCCCCTCACTGTTTTGTGCACCGCCCTCTCTCCATCCCTCTAGCTCTTTATTGCGGCTCCACAGCCTACCCCCCAGGGAGAGTAGGAGGAACTCAACTAGCATGCTGAGTTTTTGCCTCCTCCTGTTCCCCCACAGCCAGGCTGCAGCTCACCGTGGGGCACCAGTATGTTGGCCAGGATGCAGAGTCCCGACAGCACCAGCGAGCCGGCCTGGCAGTGGCGCCGGCCCAAGTGGTTGAGCAGCAGCAGGCTGCCGGTCTTCACTGGGAGGTCCACAATCCCAATGAGTGCTTGAAGCAGGAAGATATTGCTCCCCAGGGCTTGCAGGTCGAGGGCCAGGCCGTAGAAGGTGAAGCCAAAGGCAAACCTAGAGTGAGGGTGGATGGATTAGCCTGGGGTGGCTGCTCTTCTGCCTGCCCTGTTGGCCTTGTCCAAGCTCACCTTAGGTACTGGGGGGGAGAGAGAAAGAGGGGGGGGGCTGGTGGCCCCTGAGGGGCAGCCAAGGGGAGACTGGGTATTTCTCCCTCTCTCTCTCTGCTCAGACACTCTCTTTGGGATGCTATTCATCAGCTCCAGCTTCCACTGATCTTTGCTGGGGGGCGGGGTGTAGGCTTCAAATGTGGGCAATAGCCTACTTATGCCTGGTGCCTCTAAACAAGATTGGAGCAGCCTGTCTGTCTGCTGGGTTGCTTTGTGTCCCCAGCTTTTCCAGCACCACTGTTCTGATCCTCCTCATTCCATCTCACCAACGCACCTGGGCCCTTAATCCTTGTTCACCGGCCCACCTGGCCTGGCTCGTCTCCTCTGGGAGCCTGACTCTAGATAGCAAGGTACTTGAGCTAAAGGTCGTCCTAGACACATCTCTAGCCAGAGGCCCCCATCCTCGGCTGCCTGGGCAGCTAGCCTGGCGACAGGCTTCCCTACGGCTGGTAGCCTCGGGTAGAAGGGCATCTACCAGCACAGCATGGAGATGAAGGTTCGGAGGCGCAGCCCAGGTGTGTGGAGCAGAGTGCCAAGCCCTGCACGAGTTTGGTCCCCACTTGGTTCCTCCTGAATGGCTGACCGCAAGACCTGTGGAAGTAGGGGCCGTTAGCACCAGGTACCCACAGGCCCTACCCCGGGTCTCTAAGGCAGTTCCTGTACAAGGCTGGGGAGAGGATCTAAGGGGACAGGGCTGAGGGAAGGCCCAGCCCTGGATTACCTCAATGGTCAGTGTGTCTCCCTCTGCCTTCTTCCGATTGACAGCCGCCACCCTCTGCAGTTCCTGCAGGCCCTGGTCCAGCTTGCCCACCGTGAGGAGCCAGCGTGCCGATTCTGGCAGCCACCTGAAGTGGAAGGGTGTGGGAGGGGGTCGCTAATTATGGCCCCCATTGCCTGGCCTGTATTGTCCTCCTTGTCCTTCTATCTCCTGCGTAAGGAGGTGGTTTCAGTGGAATTGGAACAGCCAGCCTCAGGCAGCTCTAGTCAGTAGAAACCATAAAGGACAATATGACAGCAGGCCCATGACTAGCCAGGCCACCTAGGTTTATCACCAGGTTCCCCCCTGTCACTACCCTGCCAGCTTTCTGAGTTGGGGGGAGGGCCATGTTCTATAGTCCCTGAGCAGGCTACTGGATAGGGAGGGACCCTGTTGTCTCTTCCCACTTCCTTCTTGTCCCATGGCCTCTCCTCAGCCTCACCCATGAACCATGCCTGGGTCCCAGAATGGCTACAGATTGGCGACAGAACCACAATGGCTGCCAGGGTGTCTTACCATGATGACATCTTTCCAAGTTACACGCGTTCCCTCCTGCCCTGCCTCCCTCTCCGGCTGTGTATTGTCTTCCTGCTACAAACAGCATCGCCACCCCTTGCCAGGGCTCAGACTAGGGCCAGTGTCTGTAACATCACCAAGCTCTTTTTGTCTGCCCCACCAGCCGCTGATTCCTGGACCCTGGGACCCCACTGTGCCTGACTGTTTCTCTGGCTGTGTCTCAGCCAGTTCTGTGTCAGGACTGCTGACAGACTGTGACAGCTGCTCCATCCCAACTTGCTTCTCACGCTCTCAGGATCAACCACAGCTCCCCCCCCCCCCCCCCCCTCTGCCTCCTCTCTCTCACACACACTTGGTGCACTGAAAAGCCCAGCCCTCTGCGCCTTTGGTAGTGACCACCACGTAGCATTGCTCCCCCTCCACGCCTGTGATTACAGAGGCTCCTCCCCACCCAAGGGACATGCTGCCCGCTCTGAGCAGCCACCCAGAGAGCCAACTGTTTCATATTCACCAGGCCCCCGAGCGCCCCCGGTTTGGAAGAGAGTACAGACAGAATCGGTGGTTCTCAGTGACCTGTTGGGCATCCTGGTCCCACCTGGAGAGTAGGTGGAAGAAGTCAGGGGTAAGGAGAAGTCATGCAGGTATTTGGAGACCTGAGGCTGGGTGTGGGAGTCAAGGTGGGGGTGGGGATAGTGAAGGCTGGAATAGGGGTAGGGATGAGGCAAGGTGAAGCAGAGATGTGGGTTCTGCAGCATGTAAAAGGGGCTGGACCTACTAACAAGGCAAGACCCCCTCTCCCCTTGAGGGAGGGAGTGTAGACTGTGACCCCAGTTTGCTGCTAGGACACAGAAAGATGGCACCTGGCTTGTTGCGGGTGAGTTGGAGCAGGGGACACCTGAGCTTTGGGCAGCAGTGGCAAACATCTGGAGGGCTCCGGTGGCTCGCTTCCAGCCCAGGTGGTCTTGACCCTAGAACTCCTAAACCCTCCATCTGCAGGAAAGGAAGAGGCTCCCACGTTGCCCCCTGAGAGTGGGCAGAGCCTCTTTCAAGGAGGGGGGCTGGAGCACCCACCATGAATATACAAAGAATAGGAAGAAGGGGGCAGAGACAGCCAACTGTAGCATCCTCCAGCTGCGTACACCGTAGGCCACAGAGCCAGTCAGGACCTGCCCAAAGCTGAAGCCCAAGGCGTTCAGGGTCATCATCAAGGCACTGGCCCGGGAGGACGTCCACTCCATCACTGCAAGGAGCAAGGAAGGGGTCATTCCTGGGACCTGCTTTCGGCCTCCCCAACCCAGCACCAATCAGGGGACATACACAGAGTGGCTGAGCTCATCATGACACCCGCCACTGCAAAGGCCACCAGGGAACGGAACAGGCAGTAGAGGGGCAGGGTGGGAACGAACGCAGCTGCTGAGCCGGACACAGACACCAGAAAGTAGCTCCAGGTCAGGACTCTCCTGCGCCCAAACCTGCGGTACACACAGGCAGGCATGCCATTGGCCAGTGACAAAGATCTGGGCCATCAGGGACTGTCCTGTTCCTCCCCACCTCCCCAGATGAGGAAGGCACAAAGCCACATGTGGGGCCAGGCCCCCATTCTCTACCTATGGGAGGGTCACGAGGATGAGAAGGGTTAGCAAATGAATTCCCCCTTTAGCAGTGACGCCAAGCAGCAGCTGAAGGCTGGTGTGTGGCAGAGAGGATTTTAGGAATGGATATTTGAGAGAGACAGTGGCCCAACCCCCGATCCTGGAGAAAGTTGGTGAACCTGTGGCCTGGAGAGGATGTGGGGTTCCTTCAGGACAGCCTGCCTGGACCAGGCGGGCATACTCACCTATCTGAGGCATGGCCACACACTGCGGCCCCTACCAGAATTCCAGCTAGGTAGATGGACTGGGCCATGGGCCTCAGGGCCTGGGAGTCACATACCAGGTTCCACTGGGGTTGGGGGGAGAAGGGACAGAGCTGAGATCAGAGGGGCAGTCTGGACAGAAGGGAACTGGGTGTGGGTTAGGCTGCGTGGGACAATGAGGGCACCCACAGGCTTAGGCGCTTGATCTCTTGGTCTCCTGTCATCCTGGTACAGGGTCAAAGGTCAAGAGCCCTTTAGCTTCATCTGCTCTCTCCTGAGGCTTGGCCTTAGCTGAGAACCTTTCTGGAGGATCCCTTGCTTCCTCTTGTCCCCTGGGACTTTCCTGTTTGCGGGGCAGCTGCCCTTCTCCACTGGCTTGGTCCCTGTCTCTTTTCAGTTCTCATCTCAAGACAGGCTTTCTCTGTGTGGCCCCTGCTCTCTTGGAAATCACTCTGTAGAGCAGGCTGGCCTTGAACTCAAGAGATCCGCCTGCCTCTGCCTTCTGAGTGCTGGTAACAAGGCGTGCGCCACCACCACCTGGATCCTTCTCGTGTGTGTGTGTGTGTGTGTGTGTGTGTGTGTGTGTGTGTGTGAATGTATCATGAAAATGTGTGCGTGGTATACTGTTTGTGAGGGTCAGAGTTCACTCTCTGGAGCTGTCTACCTTAGTTTTGTGACAAGGTCTCTCCCTGAACCTGGGCTCACTGGGTAGGCTGGCTGGCTGGCTGGCTGCCGAGCCCCAGGCTGGGATTACAGTCACGCCACCACTGGGTGCGGGAGAGCCGAACTCAGGCCTTCATGCTTACACGGCAAGCAGCTTGCCGATCTACCTCCCTGGCCTGCCAACACCTCTTCCAAGAGGCCAGCGCTTGGCCAGGTGCTCTAATCACTGCTGGCTGACGCCAGATGAGCTTTGAAACACAGACGTTTCAGCAGAGCACCGCTGGTCCCTGTACAACAGCAGCACGGTTTACAGGTTCCTACGAGTGGGTGGCCTGGAGTCACAGCCCAGGCTCAGCTCCGGGGGATTCAGGAACAGGGGTGCCACCCCAGGCCAGTCTGTGTGACACACCATGTGGCCCAGGCTGGCCTCAGACTCACGACAACCCTCCTGCCTCTTTAGCTCTGGGGCCACAGGCCTGAACCACTAACCAAGACTTCGCTGATGGACTTTGGCTGCCCGCTTCCCTGTAAATCTACACGGTTGCCCCTAAGTGAGGAGGCCTGGGGAGGTGTCTCATTTTTGAGACCGACACATTTCAGCCCGGCCAACCGTGACTGTGACTTTGACCTCCCAAGTTCCGTTACCGTGGTCACGATTGTGGACGTGAAGGTGCTGTGGTCGTAGACCCAGCCGTCCCCACACGGCTCAGTGTCAGCCTGGCTCCAGTTGGTGGCCGTGGTGTTGGGCTCTAGAAGCTGCCATTGAGGTTTGCGGAAGCGCCGGCACTGGCGGGGCTGCTGATCCGGACCAGGTGGGATGGAGATGGCCAGAAGGCTTTCGGGCCCAAAGTCCCTGGCGACATTTTTGTGGGCAGTGCTGTTGTCCAGAAGGGCCACCCAACAGCGGTGGCGGGGCACAGCGGCTGAGAAGTTCTCCAGCATGTTCTGGGTGGTGACCCACAAAATGGGGGTCACCAAAGCCACCGTCTGGAGGAACTGAAACCTGCCTAGGCTTCCTACTCGGTCCAGGAGTTCAGGAAACGCCATGGATTTCTCCTGGGTACCACCATCCGACTTCCACCTCACAGAGGCTAGCCCAGGACAGCGGGATCAGTCTCACGAGCCGGCTTCTCCCGAGGCTCTGCCCATGCTGGCCTCCTCGCGAGCATGTCAGGGCAGCCGTGTCACTGAGTCAGAGCCAACCCAGTCTCCCAGGTATCTGCCTGCTGGCCGTCGCCCAGAGACCTGGAACCCTGTGCTGTAATCTGGAGGCCATGGGAACCTCTCAGAGACAGCAGACCGTGGTTCTCAGGAAAAGCCAAATTTGGGGAGCAAGGCGGGTGGAGAGAGGAGTCACTCTGACTGGAATTAAAGTGTGACTAGGAGCCATTTAATAGGAGAGGGTCTAGTGATCATTTCCTCAAAGTTTAACCAGGCCAGCGGCACTGCAGATGCTGTTTCTCCCCGGCCTGTGTTCATGGCCTCTTGGGTTAGCTCGAAGCACAGTCAGGATGTCCCATGGAAGGCGGCAGGGGCACCGTGGGCTGACAGCCCCAACACCCTGAGTGGCAGGGCTAGCAGCCCCGGGCTCGCCACAGCCTGACAGAGAGCGGGCCCTGAAGGCAGGCGGGGGAGAAACTGCGTCTGCAGTGCCGCTGGCCTGGTTAAACTTTGAGGAAATGATCACTAGACCCTCTCCTATTAAATGGCTCCTAGTCACACTTTAATTCCAGTCAGAGTGACTCCTCTCTCCACCTGGCTTGTTCCCCACATTTGGCTTTTCCTGAGAGCCGTGGTCTTCTACATCTCTGAGAGGTTCTCATGGCACAGATTACAGCACAGGGTCCCAGGTCTCTGGGCGACGGCCAGCAGGCAGATACCCGGGAGCCTTGGGCGTGGGGGTCCTCCCAATCTCAAAACTGGCATGATCCTAGCTTGAGTGGCACCCTATGCTTGGGGATTTGTGATTTCCCATGTCACCCTGTCTCTGGGCTTCACTAGCCACCGGAAGCTGCCGCTGCTCCTGCTCTCCATCACGGATTCCCTGTACTGAGCCTGAATAAGCGTTTGACATTACCACATGCCCCTGCATGCTTCATGAAAAATGTCCGGAACTGTTGAGACCTCTGTCTCTTCTCTAAGGCTCCTTGTCTTTTTGTTGTTGTTGTTGTTGTTTTTTGTCCCATCATCACATGGTCATCAGTCTGGAATGGAGTTCATACCCCTGCAACTCAACCCCCCCCAACCCCCGCCACCGATCACAGGTCTCTAAGCCGGACTAGTTCCGAGGATTTCTTCCTTTGCCTCTGCTCTGTCTCCTGCCTGGCCTGTCTGCCTCTTCTCTGTCCCCTCCACCTGTCACCATGCTGTAACACCTCACACGAAGTCCTGCCCTGACCGCCAGGGCCCTGGTCCTCTAGAAGAGCAGCAAGCGCTTAATTACAAGCGTCTCTCCAGCCCGGCCTGACTTCCATTTGAATGATTCCCTGGCGGCTGGGAGGGACTGTGTGGAGAAAATGTCCCCCAGGAAGCCATGGGAGTGACCGTGTGCACGGAAACGGTGGTGAGGGCTGGCACAGAAAGGCAGGAGAGAAGCCTGTGGGCACCGGGCACTGGCAGGTTTTGGTTCAAGGTAGCCCTGAGAGTGGAAGAGGAAGTAGGTGGTAGGTGATGGGATGGAAGGTGCACACGACCATTCCTGACAGACTTAAAAAAATAAAAAAGCATTTTAAATATATGCTCTAGATGGGGGAAGGGCTTGTGGCCCTCCAACTGTCACTCGAAGCTCCTGGGCTCATGTGTCAGCCATGGAGGGCAAGAGAGAACGGTGAATCTACATGATCTGACCCTGGTTAGCCTGAGCTGAAGGTGACGCACAGTAACTCTGGCCTCAGTGGTGAGGGCTAGTCAAGGCCACCCCCAGACCGTCACGGACAGGTGGGGACGTGGTCCCAGCTCTACACTGGGAGGCAAGGGGAGCATCTGTAAACAGTGTGCTGCCATCACTCCAGGGCCAATGTGTCATTAGTGCTTTGTTTCGAGAAGACAGTACAGTTAGCTCGTGAGCCATTGGGACCTTGATGACTGATAAAAGTGGGGACGTTGTTTGGAGCCGGGTCCTTGAGCCCCAGAGGGGCAGGCCCTGGAGTCCAGTGGAGGGCGTGGCCCAGCTCCAGAGGTGAGGTTGCTCCTGAGGCCCTGAGGCATTTTCCTTTGTCATGAAGTATTGGGAAGACCAGGAGGGCTGGTCAGACAGACTGTGGGGAGTGGGGACATTGCAAGTCTGAGTACGGGAGAGGGATGTGTCATAGGGGACGCAGCTGGTGTCCCATCAGTGGTCCCTCCAGCCTGGCTACCTTTTGGATCGGTGCTGATCCTGGCCCTGTGACCGAAGGAAGCCTGCAAGTGTTCGGATGCGGCGGCAACTGGAAGGGTGTTCCTTTGGTCCCTGGTCCTTGGAGTTGAAATGAGTCTGTTGAAGAGGGCAGAGCCGTCTGTGGTCGTCAGGAGATAGAGAGGAATGGAAAGAAGTCTGTTGAAGAGGGCAGAGCCGTCTGTGGTCGTCAGGAGATAGAGAGGAATGGAAAGAAGGCTGTGAGGTTTGGGTGGGAAGCAGGCTGAGGCAGTTGTTGGTCTAGTTCTAAAGGCTTTCAGGGAAAGGCAGGTGTGCAGGTTAGACCAGAAGAGACTGGGGAGACTGGGTTGCCGATGGCCTTCCTGTCACTGCTGCCTTGAGCAGCGTTAGGCTGTAATATGGGTGTGTTTTCTAAACTCCAGTTCCGGCTATCCTTTGTCATTCTTTTCTGGGTCCTGGGGCACACGAGGGGCATCTTGACTTTCTGGCCTGATCATGCAGCAGGCTTTTTTTTTTTTTGGTGCGTGCATCCTCCTGCTCCCCAATATCCTGCAGTGATGGCAGCTGCCTCTGGCCTGTAGCCAGGCAGGAGAAAGGGCAGGCCAGTCTGAGAGAACTGTGCGTGACTCAGCAAAGGCCTGGGTCACGGAGGGACTCGTCAATCCGGGAGGCTGCTGGAGGAGGCAACAGCCTTGGGTGGCTGTTTGTGGCTCTCCGGTGCTCTTGGCAGTCCTTTTCCCTCCCTCTGCTGTCTGGTCTTGACCACATGTACACACACTCCCCGACCTCTGTCCCTTTCTGGTCCTCTTACCAGAATCAGCCGTGTCCTTTCAATCCATTCTCTGCTGCTCCTCCACATCAGCCTGTGGGGGAGAGACGCCTGCCGATGTCTGCCCCAGGTGGGCGCCCTGGGTCGGGTCACAGGCTTCCAGTCTCCAGAGGATGGGAAGGCCTGCTCTCTGGTTTCCCCTCCTTTAGCTGTCCAGCGTCTCGATGAGGAGATGTGAAGCCCCAGCTGTGTGCCACCCAGACGATCCTCTCAGACCCTCTGGAGCGTGGCACTCCTCTGTGTTGCTTGCTCTAAACGGCTCTCCTGGGATGTTCTGAAAGTCTGGGCCGTTGCCCTTCCGTAGAGCAGCACTGGCTCCACTCCTGATCTCTCCCGGATGTGTTCTGGACATGACCTCAGGATCACCTTAAAGTTACCTACGAAGCACCCAAGACCTGCTTCCTTCCGTGTTGATGAGGATGATAAAGGTGGTGGGGATTGCCATGAAGATGGTGGCGGTGGCGGTGGTGGTGGTGGCAATGTAACAATGGGGGCCGTGGTGATGACCTCAGTGGTTACAGCAGTAGAGATACAGGTGATGGCAATGGTGGTGGCGAGGAGGAGGGCGACAGTGGTGACAGTGATGGTGACGTAGTGAGGGTGGTAATGATGGTGGTGATGATGACGGTAGAGAAGGTGATACTTGGGATAAAAATGGCAAGGATAGACTTACGGCCAACTGTTGGGCAGAGTGAATGGAATCTTATGTATGAAGTGGGAAATAGTAAGAGCTGGAGAGGACGGGAACTCCACAAAGAGAGCAACAGAAGCAGAACATTTGAACACAGTGGTCTTCCCAGAGACTCATACTCCAACCAAGGACTATTCGTGGAGATGACCTAGAACCCCTGCACAGATGTAGCCCATGGCAGTTTAGTGTCCAAGTGGGTTACATAGTAATGGGAAGAGGGACTGCCTCTGACATAATCTGATTGGCCTGCTCGTTGATCACCTCCACTGGAGGGGGGAGCAGCCTTACCAGGCCACAGTAGAGGACAATGCAGCCAGTCCTGATGAGATCTGATAGACTAGGATCAGAAGGAAGAAGAAGAGGACCTCCCCTATCAGTGGACTTGGGAAGGGGTATGCGTGAAGAAGGGGGAGGAAGGGTAGAGTCGGGAGGGGAGGAGGGAGGGACTTATGGGGGATACAAAGTGAATAAAGTGTAATTAATAACAAATTAAAAAAATGGCAAGGATGGTGGTGGTGGTGACGATGGTGAGACTGTTGATGGTGGGAATAATGGTGATGGTGATGGTGATGGTGATGGTGATGGTGATGGTGATGGTGATGGTGATGGTGATGGTGATGGAAACGGCTGTGATGGTGATGGCAGCTGATGGCCACTGACTCTTGGTACACATTGGCCAGTATTCTGTGTCCTTTTTCTTATGCTTGACCTATGTAATCATTGTGACAGTATTCCTGGGCAGACAGCCCATTCCTGTACACACATTTGTAGAGGTGGATCCTGAGGCCGAGGGCAGTGAGGCCAGGCCATTGCTGCCTGTGGCAGGGTCCTGCCCTCGTGTCCCAGCCCGCGGACACCAGTTTGCCTGAAAGAAGGCTCACTGGGGGGATGTGGTACACGGCACCTCTGTCCCAGCATCTGCCTGCTCTTCTGTCTCACTACTGTCCAAAGAGGAAAAACCCTAAGCTCCAGGGTGCACTTCCCCCGATCCTCCACCTCCTCAAGGAGCTCCAGGAAAGTGCCTGTGGTGTGCGTGATGGCTGGGAGGGTCCCCCTTTGCTTCCGTAAACCACTCACTGGCCTGTTCAGCCTCTAGACCAGATTCCAGGTTTGTGAGCACATAGCCCAAAGGCCCCTAGTAGGCTTCCTCAGACAGAAGTAGCCCCTTACCC